GAGGTAATTCCCTAGGAGAGGCTTGAAAAAGCATTTTCTGTTCTGGATTGTCCGCCGTGTGGAATTTATTGTATGTCAATCCATGAAGCATTGTTTCATCAGCTGCGAATTAGTTCATTTACTCAACAAACATGAATTATGCATCTGTGTGCTCGGTACCCCACCCAAGTTTACCAGCGTCCTCAGGGTCTTTTTGAGGAGACTCTGTCTACTTAATCTCTAACCATCTCCAGGAATTGATGGCGATTTTATTTTTAGACTTGCGAAAAATGAACTTAGTAAACCCACCTGAACCCGAACACCTCTCTCCCTCTTCCACAGACATTATCATTCCTACCGAACAGACAACAGCTCTGGGGGATCTAAGCGTTAACACTCATCGCGTGTGAAACCACAAAGCCCAGCACGCTGTCATTACTGCTGCGTCTCTGGCCCACGCTTTCTGTCGTTAACCAGGTCATCTGGATGGCGTGGGCCGGTGTGGGCCCGCAGGTCCGCCGGGACCTCAGTCAGGCGGTTCCTGTTTTCTTTCTTGTGGGCGCATATTAAAGATAAATAGCGCAGGTCCTGGAATTGTAAGTTTCCCCACAGATACGTTTCGGCCTCTCCTTGTTTGAGAGAGAGAAACCGTGGCACCTTCTTTCTCAGCAGATGTGCTCTGAATCGGGGATTAATAGTTTCACAAAACTAGGTTAAGGAACTTTTTAAAAAGCAAGCATACTCAGGCAATTCCCCAAGCAGGGAAGTGTCATTTTGCTGAGCCGAGAACAAGAGCGAGAGAAAAGAAAGCTCAGATTTTCTTGTCTGGTTATTGTCAGGGGCTGAGAGATGCACAAACAAGGCTCCATCTTCTGCTGGAGCAGATATTGCCACAGAGCCCTGGGGACTGCCCACCTGCAAAGGTGTCAGGAGATGGGGAAAGTCCGCGCTGTGAGTTGGAAAGGCCACCGTGTGAACTGTGCACACAGACAGGCATGATGGCTGGAGGGCTGGGCAACATCACCTGGAATGCAGCCAGGTGTCCCTCGGGCCTCAGGACGACAGCCCAAGCACCAAAGGGATTGCCTTATGGTGTGGCCAGCAGGGCTTCCAACCCTTTTCCACAGCCTGGTTATGGCGTTGATCGACCCACGGAGCCAGAGGCCCTTGGAAACCCCATGCCCCAGCTTCCATGTTAAGGTTGACATTCGTGGTCCAGACACTCTGGCGTCCAGCATAATGTCAATCAGAGAAGTGAAGTGACTTGTCCATGGTGGAACTGTCAATCAGCGGCCAAGGCACAACAACAATGCACATTCCCCTTAGTAGCCCTAGAGCAACAGATTGGAAATGGGTAGTAACAACGATTCTCCACATCCGTAGATTGCATTACCGTGTTACACCCACTTATAAGCAACATCCAGCCTCAGAGGATGTAGAGGAGACACCATTGATCTCATGGTTATAAGGAGGTAACTGGGCTCTGAGAGTTGAAATTACTCTAGGAACAGAGCATAGATTAGAACCTTTATCACCTGGATCCTGGGCTAGAACTATAGGTACCAATCCAGATCAAAGAGTGATTACAAATGCATTAATTTTTAGCAGTCAGGTGGTCTGCCTAGATCTGCCTAGATCTTACCAATCACTCTGGATCATTCGTACTTCCTGGATTGGCCTCTGAAACCCTTTAACCAGAAGTCTCTGTCCACAGAGAACTTACTCACGTAGGCATCCACCATGGAGACCCGTCTACCTCCACATCGCTGGCGTGAGCAGCGTTTCCAAAGCATCACCCTGTTTTCCCATGCACGGTTTCGCTTTGACCTGGCTTAGGAATTCTGCACAGAGCAACACTTTGTCTTGAGGAAGAGGAGTTGCTAAATTTTGGGGACACGTTAATTGTCCCAATTGAAAGACGCAAACAGCACCAAGTTTAAACCCACGTTCAAGCCAAATCAATACCACGTTTCTAGTTAATTCTTGGTATGTATTTTGTTAGAGAGCTCCAGGGACAACTGGTTCTGAGGTTGAAGCTTTGAGCTTTTCATGTTTTCCTTATTAAAGATGAAAAAGAAAGCAGGTCGGGATGGAGAGAAAGTGGCTGATGGCTCCGGCGTTCTACCAGTGGCCACTTCATCTTGAATAAGACAGCCTCTCCTGTAAGTGACCCAGTGTGCACCAACCGTGGGTGCTCATGGCACCAGCAATGGACATGGCCCTGCAGACCAGCCTACAGCCAGGACTTCTTTCTAAGATAAAGTATAAAAACCTGGGATTCCCACAGTAAGGTGAGCAGGGATGGAGGAAGGTGATTCTCAGTCACTGATGACTATGTTGAGTGAGAAGATTTGTGGGCCCTGAGTCCAATGGTCATCAGTGGTGACAGATGCCACACGATGGCCAGGCTTGGGTTGGGTCTCTCCCCTCCTGCCCTTGACTGCCAGAAGGGCTGTGCAGTCAGCACCCTGCCTCTGGTCCGTCCCCTTTGCATCCATTTGCACACTCCGGTGAGCTTAATTTTCTTCCCACACGACTTCCACTCTGCACTCAGCAACGGGGAATGACCTCCCCATGCCCTGCCGTGCCCACTCCATCAGACCTGACCCCAGCCCAAGGCTTCGCTAACATGCATGTAGCTCACCAACATTTCACAACTTGGCCATGTCTCTGCAGTCACCGGGACTGACTGTTGGCTGAACCCCTGTACCAGGTCCACGTGGGGATGCTGAGATGATGAGGGTAGTCCAGGATGAGGCAGGCATGCAGGCACGGAAGCCACAGCTCAGCTTCGGCAGGACTACAACAAAGGCATGTGTGGGGCCTGGAGCTTACACAATCTCGGGGACCCTCTTGTAGAAAATTATTGCAAAATTATGATTGCAAAGGAGCAGCCCTGAAGCATAGGCTTCTCCAACTTCCTAGACAACCTGTGTGCTTCAGGTGTGCAGGGCCTGTGAGGTGGGTGCCTTTGGTATCCACCACTGTCCCTTTACTTTTGATCAAGGGTTTGATGCAGTATGTTCCACCTGGAACCCCCTCCCCTGGTCTAAATTCTACCAACTGGACCTATGTATCCCAATTCCTCCATAAATGCACTCCTGATTGCCTGGTTTTCACTTAATCCTCTCCTTTTGTGTATTGTTGTAGCGCTTCTAGTGATCTTACACCATATACAGCATCTCACATAATATTTTAGCTATTTCAGGTTAGATTTATTTTGGCAAATAAATGACAAGCTCCCAGAGGGCGGGGCTTTTGTTTTATGATCCAGATATGGCAGCATCTGCACACTGAACATATGATTACAACTTGATTGAGTCATACAGGGAAGGAATGATTAAATTGGATAATCCCACCTTTTATTTATTTATTTTTTTTTGAGACAGAGTCTCACTTCGTTGCCCAGGCTAGAGTGAGTGCCGTGGCGTCAGCCTAGCTCACAGCAACCTCAAACTCCTGGGCTCAAGCAATCCTCCTGCCTCAGCCTCCTGAGTAGCTGGGACTACAGGCATGCACCACCATGCCCAGCTAAGTTTTTCTATATATATTAGTTGGCCAATTAATTTCTTTCTTTTTATAGTAGAGACGGGGTCTCGCTCTTGCTCAGGCTGGTTTTGAACTCCTGACCTCGATCAATCCTCCCGCCTCAGCCTCCCAGAGTGCTAGGATTACAGGTGTTTGCCACTGCGCCCAGCCTAATCCCGCCTTTTGAATCCAGTGCTCGGTAGTGCCACAGGCTATGATGTTTATGGTACCCCCAGTCTCACCAGATGAGTCACCTCTGAACCTAAACTGGCACGTTCCCCAATTCATCATTTGGGCACTTAGATTCTCTGGAATTGCATTACTGTTCTTGGCCTTACACATGTGCCCCCTGGGTGATAGCAATGCCTCGCACGGTTCCAACGTGTCAACATATGTCAAGGCCCCTCAGACGTGTATCTCTGGCCCAGAACTTTCCCCCAAGCTCCCAACTTACATATTGAGCTATACCTTTGTGTGTCCATGTCCCTAAAGGAGCCTGTGCCTAAACTGCACCCACATCCAAATACAGAAGGGCAGCTGTGGGGTGCCAAAAATAAACAAATTTAAACCCTTTTCCTGTCTGTCCCTGTACTGAACGATAAGCTCCGTTATGTGCACAGTGGATGACGGCCCTATCTGCAACAAGGTGGGAATTTAATCGGCCTGCGAGTCAATAAATAAGGGGGCAGTATACCTGAGATAGTTCCTACAGCAAATTGCTAAACACGGACGCCGTATGCAAAGCACCTGCGAGAAGTCTTCTCGGGCCCCACGCCTCATCACGCTCCACGCCCGAGACAGTCTTGGATGAGCGTTCATACCAGTGCCCTTCTCTTGCACACACTTTTCCATACTTGCAAACACAGTGGTGAGCACTCCTAGAACCTTCCGTCTTCCCACCTACTTTGTTTAGACAGAGCAAGGTGAGCTGGAACTAGCTAGGCTCCACGCTCTCCTGGCCGCCCTTCCCGAGGCCCCCCCTCCAGGCCCCCACCACATTGCTCCCTGTGCAGCCAGTCTCCAGGCCGCTGATTTCTTCTACTTTTCTTACAAAAGAGCCACACACTTCTGGCACCGAAAATCGCAAGGTGGCGGATGCTTTTGAAGAAGGAATTATAAAATCGAAGCGGGAACGAACCTGTGTTTAACCAAGAACTACTGTGCAATGTAACCTCACTTTATAGGTGAAAGTGTTGGTCTAATACATTAAATACTAAGAAACAACAGAAATAGGCATGTTGGTGGGGGGGGGACGGTGCTGAAGGGGCAGATTGATCAGAAAGATTTAAGGAAAAATATTTTATCAAAACAATGAGTCATCTACATTCAAAGGTCCTCAAATTGCAATATTTTCTTCCAAATCCGTGTTAAAATGTTGACAGCTGCTACCGGAATGCGCTTCAGATTCCCTTCTGATATTACAATTTCCCACTTTCAGTCATGCATTTGCTCTCATTTGTTGTTCCTGCTTGCAGTCCCTGCGCCGGCTGAGAAAGCCAGAGGGTTCCTGACCTTGTATGGGGTGGGGTGGGAGGGGCGGTAACAATGAGAAGGGAAGCAACTCGTTCAGCAGCGGGACATGAAGAAGGGGTCTTTGGGAAGCAGCCAAAGGTCAGCTGGCTGAGCAGTGCAGTGGAGGCTGCAGGGCTGTGCCGGCGGCGGCGGGAGGAGCCACCATCCTGGGCAGGTGGGCGCGGGTGAGCCAGGGGTCGCGGGGCGGCGCGGGCGGAGACTGACAGCGAGTGGGAGCGGGCGGGCGGCAGGCGGTGCAGTCACTCGCGGGGGCGGCGGGGCTGGGGGCGAGTTCTTCCCAAGTGGCAGGGAGCCCGGGTCGCAGAGCGCGGCCCGGACACGCTGCGTCCTGTCCCGGAGGACTGAGTCGCAGAGGGACGCCGCTGGCTGGAGTGCGTGGCGCACATGGAAGGCGAGCGAGAGTGCAGGCCTGGGGCACCTGCCTGGGGTTGGGGACCCAGCAGGGGCCACCCTCCCTCTGGCGCCACCACCTGGCACCCCTCGCACTTCTGAGCCTCGGGCCATGTCTAAGGCTGGCCCTGTAGCTGGGAGAAGGTGGAAGGGCTGAGGACAAGATAAAGACAAGGGAGAGTGAGTGTTTGACCCAGGTGGAGGACTAAAGAGGCCTGCCCCACTGTAGGACGGCTGGGTGTGCACTTTCTCAGTCTCCTTCCCTCATGCGTTCCACATTTCCAATCCACCCCCATCTCCACCGCCTCCACTTCCCAGCTCTCAAACTCCTTTAACTCTATTTACAAGAGCATGTAAATAAGTTGTTTATACAGGTGAGAGTGTGGAAGAGAAGGGCTCCTCGTGGCAGAGATGGATATGGGGTTGGAGATGGATGTGGGGTTGGAGATGGATGTGGGGTTGGAGATGGATCTGGGGTAGGAGATGGATGTGGGGTTGGAGGAAGAGATGCTGGGGTTGTAGGATGGGATGTGGCGGGTTGGGAGATGGGATAATGGGCGTTGGAGATGGATGTGGGGTTGGAGATGGATGTGGGGTTGGAGATGGATGTGGGGTTGGAGATGGATATGGGGTTGGAGATGGATGTAGGGTTGGAGATGGATGTGGGGTTGGAGATGGATCTGGGGTAGGAGATGGATGTGGGGTTGGAGATGGATCTGGGGTAGGAGATGGATGTGGGGTTGGAGATGGATGTGGGGTTGGAGATGGATGTGGAGTTGGAGATGGATCTGGGGTAGGAGATGGATGTGGGGTTGGAGATGGATCTGGGGTTGGAGATGGATGTGGGGTTGGAGATGGATATGGGGTTGGAGATGGATCTGGGGTTGGAGATGGATGTAGGGTTGGAGATGGATGTGGGGTTGGAGATGGATCTGGGGTTGGAGATGGATGCGGGGTTGGAGATGGATGCGGGGTTGGAGATGGATATGGGGCCAGGGCCACCTGTGGGTCCCTCCTCCACCCACTGCTCTTGGGTTCATCCACATGACCTGTCTGGGGCAGAGCAGTGTTTCTTTATGGTCTTCCTATCCAGTTAGGTGCTAGTTGCCAAAGATTACTTAGTACTTTTTGGAATCTGCCACTCTTATAATACATACGTGTTTTAATCATTTCTTTACAGGAGAATCTGTGCAGAAACGCATGGCAAGTGAGGAAGATGAGGCCAGAGAGCCAATAGGGACAGGCTTTGGGGCCCCACCCCAGCTCCTGAGATCCGCATAGACTGCCCACAATTTCATCTCCCTGAGCCTGTTCCATCATCTAAAGAAAAAAAGGTAGTCGTGTATAGCTTGGGCTCCTTGTAAGATTTAAGTGAGAAAGCTTGCCCTGTTGCATAGCTAAAGGCGTGCCAAAATGACTCGATCATTGTTTCACTTTCATAAAAAGAATCACGAGTCAGAGCATCTTTTTCTCATTCTCTATCTATATATCCCAGGCCAAGATATAAACAGGCACTTTTCTGAACCGCCTCACAGATATTCCCGCGTGTCTACTGGGGTCAGTAAATGTTACTGTGTTCTTTTGTATAGGTAAATTTTTAGTCTTGGGCATATAAATTTGGCCAAGCCACCAACCGTGAACGATCCCTAGACAGGACCCATGCGGCATTTCCTGCTGATGTAGCGCCTTTGTCCAAGGGCCGCCATGTTCTTCCTGTCCACGCTGCAGGGCTGGCTGTCCTGTCCCAATGGCTCATGCGCCCAAACATTGCCACCAGATAAAACTGGGACCTGGCACCCTTGCGTCCTTTGTGGGCCCGTCTCAAACTGCTCACCAACACCCACTTCGTGACGTGCTGCCCTAGACCCACCCGTGTCTTCCCGGTTTCTGAGCTCCTGGTTCATTTTCCTTTCTATGAACTGGCCTCACTGCTGCGGGCGCTTCCTGCGCCAGCCCACATGGCCTCTTCGTCTCCTTGGCCACTGGTGGGCCTGCCACATGGCTCAGCTGAGCCCCACGACCTTCCTTCCACCTCGGTGGGGGTCCCCCTCCGTAGGGCTGCCCTGAGCTGTCCCCAATCTCACAGGAAACCCAGGGCCTTTCTTGAAACCCTGTGGGCACAGCCTCCTAGGACCTCACGTGCTTATGACAAAGGCACCTAGCGCCGGAGCCAGCCACTTTGGGTACTGGGTTTTGTTTAGTAAGTTTCAAAGGCAAGTTGGTCATAAAACCACAGAAATCCTTACGTTTGACGTGCTCACCCCTCACCCGGCCTCTTTGTAATCTTATTTCTTGGCACTGCATGGGTGCACCTCGGGGTATGGCATGTGCTAATGTGAGGCCCCTCGTCAGTGGCTGGGAATCGATCAGTATTACATCGTGCAAGCCCCCAGGCTTCTCACCGCGCTGGGTTCTTTAGGACCAGCATAGGACCCGGTAGCGTAGGCCACAACCCTGCCAGCATGCGGCAGAAAACCCTTCTCTCAAAGGGAAAACAGCTCCGCAGCGCTGGTAACTCAAATGTCCCGGGCATGCCTGCACATTATTCTTTTCGGATACCTGTTGGGCACACTGGGAGTTGATTCATCTGGTGGACTCTTTGCTATGTCAAATAGAAGGCAATCGCTCTCATTTCCATGAAGCTCAGATGCAAACTTCTGAATAAACACAGTAGCACGGCTCGCATCACTCCCCAAGTTCGGCCTTTCTGCCCCTCATGGCACGGCACGGGTTGGGTTACAGCCTGTTTTCTGGGCAGGAAAGCAGTGACAGCCGCAGGCTGGATGTACGGTAGAAAGGCCAGTTAGCAGGGGGGACGTGGGTGAGCCCTGAGAGAGCCCGGGGACTGGGGTGGCACAAGGTTAAGTGAGGGCTGTGGCTCATGGAAATGCTGACCATAATTGGAAAGAAGAAAAGGGCAAGTTCAACGTCAACCTCCCATTTGTTTAGAGCTTTGGAGACATTTGAAAAGAACATACTTTAACTCCCCAAAGTCCTCTTAGACATTCAGATTTAAGCAGAAGACACAAAACCGATTGCCTTGCTGGCCGGGACGGTTCACCTAACATGAGGGTCAGTCACCTCCCTTGGGCTGTGGAGGTCGGTGAAGTTAATTTCTTCAGTTTGACCTGAGTTTGATTGTTTTTGGAGTTAGGGATGCCTCCCGCCTCTTTCCCTGTGTGTCTTTAAAGCTATGTGCACACTTCTTTTGCCCCTAAATCTGACGTGCCAGTGTGTTGAGAGCTGAGAATTTCTGCAGAGCTGTGAGAAGGAGAAGGTCATAATAAAAAGAAAAAGATTCTTATTCCAAAATCCCTTTGCGACGCCTCTAAATGACTGCACAGGAGTTCCTCCGTGTGCAGCCGAGCAGCTGTGGCCTCACCTTAGCTGCTTTGGGTTTCTTTTTCCCCCACCTTGCTTTGGGGGTGCCCTGAGGGATCGTTCCAGATCCCTCTTCCTGGCTCAGGCTTCCTGAGGGAGCATTCAATTCAGATCACACTAGACAGGCAGCTGAGGGTCACTCCTGAGCGAGGACAGTGTGGACATGTGACCCTCAGCGTGATGAATTATGTCTTTGACAGCTGCCAGGTGCCCAGGTTCTCCTCCCGGAAGGTGTGCACGTTGGCTGAAGCGGCTCCCTGTTATCCCGGTTCAACACGTCACGGAGCAAAAGGACGCACTTCCGACAGTGGGTGACGTCACGGGGCAGTGGTGCCAGGGAGTGTGGCAACCTGGGCCCAGCCCTGATTAGGTCGTTCGCTGTCCCCGACCCTAGCTATCTTCTCCGTAAAGTGGAAAAAATATGGGTAGGTGACCTCTCTTTTCCAGCGTGTGATTCTATTGTGTCTTCTCTCCTGCCGGGCTTATGCTCCCCAGAGGATGAGGACCTATCCGTGTCACTTCTCTTAGCTTGCATGCTTTTGGAGCTTGCTATTATTGTGTGCAGCCTGAGATAAACACAGGTACCCACACTTCCTGGCAGGGCAGAGATCCTTTCATACTTACTTGCCAGAAGCAATCAAACCATGAAGCTGTCACTTAAGCGAATTGATTTACACCGTGGTGTTTGCATGGGTCAACACGGAAAGTATCCTCTGAATCCCTTTGAAAAGGCCCTTCTCAATTCAAAATGATGAAGGCTGCGTATTAAATGGCAGCCTGGAATTTTTCCTTCACGCGAAGTCAAAGACATCATTGCTTGCTATTTGTTCTTTGACATGTTACTGGCAATGTGCACAGTAAACATAATCAGAGCGTTCCACGTGCCACGTTTTGCCAACCTTGGGCCCCGCTAAGGAGGTAAATAAGCCCTGTCGATGAATCATCCTGAGTTTTAGCCCACACAGGCTTTTGAAACAGATCGTGTCACCATACGCGCTATTTCTTCCAGGACTAAAAGGTAAGCGTGCACATCTCCTGTAGCAGAGAACCTCGGGTCTGAACTCTGAGGCCCTAAGGCCTGTCACGCTGTTGAGAAAATGAAGCTTTTCTTTTCCCTGCAGCTGCAAACTGAGAAGCCAGAGCCTCCCTTCGTCCTCTGCAGCCTGAGGCTAAGCCGGCATGACCCCCACCCCCCAGCTGCCCCGGCTCTGGCTGCACTCTGTCCCGCCCTGCTGCGGGTCCGACGGGGTCACTCTCCCACAGGGTTGGGTTCCAGTCCCGCAGTTTGGAAGCAGGCCCTTCCCGGGCAGTCTTTGCATCCTCCTCCACTGCTGTGTCCCTCCGAGCCCCCGTCCCACCCCCCACCCCCCGCCCGTGCACGGCCCCTCAGCGCCCCTCGCGCCCACTGCAAAGGCGCCTCCTCGGCCCGCTGGCTCTGAGCTGCGAGCTCCCGTTCCTGACTTGTAAACACCGATGCCTCAGGCCCACCTGTTCACATCTGTAGGAAACGAAGGCAAACTGCCTGGGCCCTGCCCAGCTCTCCTGGCTGGTGGAATGCACGACAGAATGTGTGTTAATTAAAGGTATAAACATGTCACGCTTCTGCTGCTTGCTGTCTATCCGCTCGGATATTGTATTACAGCTGCAGTAGGTACCAAAGGGATATTTTTTTCACAGGATAATATTATATCGTCCAGACAAAAATGCTATTTCTAATCTCCAGGGTTGGTGTTTAAGGAAAAATGATTTTTAATAATTTCACCAAAATTGATTAGTGGTTAAGCAAGGAATATCAAAGATTCTAAAGCCAAAAAAAAAAAAAAGGAAAGAAAAAGAAAAAGAAAAGAAAAGAGAAAGTGTCCTCTCACTAAGTAAAGGCCCTAAAACTCTAGGTACAATAGGAAGACTGAGTTTTCCACGCTGACTAGCATGCTCATGGAATACAAGATTAAAGTTGACCCATCTGTGCAGCTGTTTTAAAAATGAGTAGTGGCTTTTTTTTAAAGTTTGGAATTGCTCTCAGGAAAGTTTAAGGTAACAGTACCATCATCAATGATTATGGGCTGAGATATAAGTTAGCAATCTAAAATTTAAAGAAGAGAAATGTTTGAAATTTTATATTTTCTACAAACATCTCCAAATATTAATACTTATTAACATACAATTTATTGGTAGCTTAGAATTAGAAATTACACCTAGCAATTCTTTATTTTCATCTCTACTCTCTGCATGACAATCTGCAAATAAGGCACAGTCATCTTCGTCTCGCAAAGAGGAATTCGAACCCTCAAGAAAGCCACCGCAACTTCCACACCTCATTAGGTTTCTGCGTTTGCTTAGCATTTGGGGGTGCTCCTTGATGCTTTGGTCAACAAAGCCCTCACGTCACTGAGTGCAGGGTGGCGGCCAGCTATGCAGTGACACTCTGCGCGCACTTGTTGTTTGCTGCTCTCTGGTCCCGGGACAGAGGTTTAAGGGAATATCCAGCTTGGAGTCAGGCCTGGGCCTCTGGTCTAGATGACCCTTGAGCTAGATGCCCTTGTTCTCTACAATATGGTTTGAAAATGTAAACAGGTGGTGTCTTAAAAAGTGTCTCACACTGGTGGCTGGATGTTTGTATTTTGAAGTTGGAATCAGGTCCACGGCCTCGTGGAGGAGAAAGGCGTGTGAAACCCAGGAGGAGCAGATACGGAGAACGTCTTTCTGGACCCAGGATGGCTATGGGGACACAGCCACCTCTGCTCTCATCTGTATGTGACCTTGTGGGTCTTCTAAGTCAGGTGGTAAAGAGCAAAGAAAAACATGGACAATCCCAGTCTCACTCTCTGACTTCTAGATAGATATGTTCTGTCCACACTCGCAGTGGAGTTTGCTTTCCTTGAGCTTTTATGACAATGCATAGGAACGTAATCTGTAAACTGTAAGGTAATACATAAATCCAAACTATTTGTAGCAGATAAACACAGCAAGCAAAAAAACCCAAAAAACAAAAAACCATTACATGGAATTTTAATTCATTCGATGATAACAACAAAGTTGATTTAAAAGTCAAAGACGTAAGGGAAGAGAAATGGCCTCCGATCCACAATCATCCGTAAGACCTAGGTCAATGCTGATCTCAGACAGAAAATGGTCTTGACAAACTATGGCCAAGCACTGAGACTGATCACCAAGAGGTACCAGAGACACAATGATACACAAACCTGCATTTCCCAAGGATATTTCTTGGGCTATAAATAGGCATTGGGTGGTAAAAGGATTCTTTGGGCAAATACAGCTGGGAAATATGGGGCTAAAAGCTGATATATTTTGCTATTGCGGGAATGCTGGACGTGAGTGCCGAATTAGCATCGGCTGCCGTCTCTGGGGCGGGGAGTGGGTGCATTGAAGAGATCTGAATTCATACAGAGGTGTCCGGGTGTTGTGAAGTGCATGGTGTATCGATTGCCTTTTAAAACCCAACAAATTCTGAATTTGGAAACACACGGAGCCAAGCGTGTCCCGGAGATGATGGTGGAGCTGTGGAAGCGGGAATGTGCCACGGTGCTGGAAAGACACCCCCCCCCCAGCACACATGCCCAGCCCCCCGGCCGCTCACCACGCACGCAGCCCTCCCCGCACCCGGCGGCCGCACGCCCACCCCCGCCGCCACCCAGGGCTATTATAAACGACGTGCGAGATAAGAGATAAGAAAGCCTGCAAAATGATTCATGCGTTTCTGAGACATTTTCATTCTGAAGTCAAATTGTTGCGCCCACGGACAAAGACAAGTCATTCGTTTCTAAGAAATTATTTCACGGCCATTTCCACCACCGTGATTCCATGTTTTTGAAATTCCGGTCCACCAGACCATCATCTTAAAATTCCTACCTCGTCGACACAGAAATTCGATAAGGTAGAAATTAAAACGTGGAATCTTCGGAAAAGAACACTCATGCTCCTCGGTGTGGTGTGCGTGTTTTCTATCATTAAAGGAAAAGGCAGAGAAGAGCCAAAACCGTCCGCGAGAGGGTGGTGGCTGGGTGAACAGCGAACCAGCCTGTGACGAGCGGGGAGCAGACGGAGGTCTGTAATTCCCGGGCCCGGACGCCCTCACTTGCAGCACATGCAAGGGGCAGTGTGCACTGGCCGCGTCCCGCTGCTGTGCCCGGGCAGGCTGGCCTCATGTGGCCCCTGGCACGCCAGGGTGAAGGCTCGGCGTGCTTTATCTGCACGTGACAGTTGGCCCGAGGAAATGAACGAATCACAATAGAAATGGGCTCTTTCTGTGCACCTATGATTCCAAAAGGAGATGGAGAGCTTAAAAAATGCATACGATTCTATCTCGGGCCGCCCGCTCAAACAAAAGCACGCACGCTGCCAGGGTCGACGTTACACACAGAAACAGACAGACAACCCGGGGAGGGAGGCATTGCCGTCACTGTGCACGCCAGTGCCCCCCGCTCAGCTCCCTAAACACTGAAGCATGCTCGATGAATATCTGGTGACTGAGTGAGTCAATCAGTTGACAACAGTAAAAAATAGAAAGAAAAAAAAAACAAAAACAAGAAGAAATCTCTTCCCTGCTGCTCTGCCGCTATGCAGGGAATTCACAGCGGTCTTCCTTTTTCCTCTCCGGGGGCAGGCGTGCTAACTGGGTTTTGAAACCCTGTCATGGAAACCTGGAGCTCAGGTTCAGCAGAGGTCAAGCGCAAGTTCGGGCCCCGTTAACCCATCGCTGACGCCCTGGTGTGGGAACAGAGGTCCCGGAGAGAAGAGATTACAAAGCAGTCTGGTCCGAGAGCAGCAGATGGTGGGAGGCGAGACGTTAGGAGCCCTGCCTGACCTCGCCCGGGTCCGCCCGAGGGCTTGCATGTCATGGAGTGACTCAACCGGAGGGCAGAGGGGAAGCGCACGGGGCGGGGGGGGGACGTGGGCAGCCAGGGCAGAGCGGGAAGCCAAAAGAAGGTTCCAGGGCCGTGGCCGCGAGCTCTCACCTCCGGATGGGTCATCTTTGAATACTGGACTCGGCTTTTCGACTTCGGGTTCTATTTCCTTTGGCCGCAGACTAACAGAAGTATTGTACTTTTATTTATTTGTTTTTGTAAACAGTTGCTTCCTCCTCCCCATTCTGTGTCCTTTCATACTGTTTTCTGGGGCTGTCGTGGTCTGGGGGGGGAGTGTGAGGGGCAGCCCAGCTGGGGATGCCACCTGACACCCCACTCGTGGCCTGAGCCCCTGCGGCTGAGATGCCCCACACACCTGTCCCCTCCCCGCGCCATCCGCAGGCTCATCCTTCCCCGAGCC